AAGAAAAAAAAAAAGAGTTAATTGTAAAACAGCCTCAGACTCGTCCTTTGGGAGGCATTATTACCATAGGAGATGGCAGCTCCACACCTGTTACTGTCCCTGAAGACCCTCCAGTGGGACAGGATGTGGAAGTACAATGCAGTATTGAAGATCCTGCTCCTGTGTAAGCCTGGCCTTATATATTTGGATCTCAGTTTTTAACAAAAAAGTTTAAAAGGTAAAACTCTAAAAAAATACATTTAAAAAAACAAAAAGCTTATAGAATAAGCTTAAGAATAGGCTTAAAAAACAGAAACAGTTTATAGTATAAACTTACAGAAAAAAATATTTACAAAAACAGAGAAAACTTGAAACACACAATGTTTAAGCTGAGTTTTGGTACAAATAGACAAAAGGTTAAAAAAATTAAGTTTATAAGGAAAACATATTAAGCTAAGGTCAATTTGTTATTAAAGAAAAAAAGACCTAACTTTTAAATAAATTTAGCATAAAATTTAGTATAGGTTGTTTAGTAAATTTAGCATACTTGGCCAGGCACACTGGCTCACACCTGTAATCCCAGAACTCTGGGAGGCTGAAGTAGGTGGATTGCTTGAGCTCAGGAGGTCCAGGTCAGCCTGAGCAAGAGTGAAACCTGAGCAAGAGTAGAAACCCCATCTCTACTAAAAATAGAGAAATTAGCTGGGCCTGTTACTCTCAGATACTTGGGAGGCTGAGGCAAGAGGATCAATTGAGCCCTAGAGTTTCAGGTTGCCATGAGCTATGACACCAAGCACTCTAGCCTGGGGTAACAGAGTGAGACTCTGTCTCAATCAATCAATCAATCAATATAGTATACTATGGTTATGAAGTCTACCTACAATAGTGTACGGTAGTGTCCGAGACCTTTACATTCACTCACCACTCATTCACTGAGTTACCCAGAGCAACCTGCAGTCCCACAGCTTCCATTTATAGTAAGTGCACTATACAAGTATACTATTTTTTACCTTTTATACTATATTTTTACAGTGCCTTTTTGTGTTTAGATACACTTACCATTGTCTACAGTATTCCATACAGTAACATGCTATACGTGTTGGTGGCCTAGGATTAACAGATTATATACCACATAGCCTAGGTATACTCTATGATGTTTGTACTATGTATGACAAAATAGCCTAATGATACTTTCTTAGAACTTACAACTGTTGGCAAGCAATGCATGACTGTTATAAAATGTGATTAAATGTGAAGCTGACTTACAATAATTTCAGATACCAGATTTTTAAAGTAATTAAAAATAAGAAAAGGCATAAAAGAAAATATATCTTAGTTATGTCCTTTTGAGCAATGCATACCAAGGATCTTACAGAGCAACTATCAAAATACCATAATTTAAATGTAACTTGTATAGCTTTTTAAAATAAATGATAAAACAGTAATTTTCATTTTCAAGACATACTTAAAATGGAAAAAAACCAGTTTGGTTTATTGTAAGTATAAACAGCAAGTATAATGGCCTTAACATGTTCAAAGGCCTTCATATGTTCTTATTTGTTATAATGTTATTTGTTAAGTTTTATAAGAAAATATAGGCTTTGACAAAAAGGCACTTGTAGAGGAAAAAAGATCTGAGATTTGTATAAGATTTAACTTATTATAAATTGATGCTACTTTTTCCTAACAGTTTTAAGATCTTTATAAAACTGGGCACTAAAGAAGCTTTCGTAAATGTAGCACTTTAGAAGAGAATGAAAAATAAAAAGAAAATTATCCTTAAATACTTACAGATTCTTTTCTGCCCATAGTTTTGCTGTGTGAGCGAGAACGGGAGATGTTGCTAAAAAAGGAATCTTTTTTAGTAGCAGATGTAGGTGGGGAGCCAGTGAATTCTCTTCCTCCAGGCAAACTCTCAATGCTTGGAGATGAACTGATGTTTTTAGAACTTTGCCCTGTAAGGAAAATTAAGTAGTAATAATGAAACACCAGACTTTCACTAAGCTACTGAATGTACTGCTTTTAATTAATGATGACCGAGACCACCTTGATGACACTGTCAACATGCATTTTTATGTATCAGAATAGTTACCAACTTTTAAAAAAATAGTGAAGTATCATTATAATTTTCCGTATGCAATTTATACTGCAACAGTCCAAGTACTGCACATATATATATTTAAAAGAAACACTAAAAAGTCTAATTTTCAGAGCTCGATGGTTAAATGACTGGATTTTTCCTTACTAATGGAATCACCCCTTAATTATTGAAACCAGAACCTATTATGCTGGATATTATATTAGTAAGATTTAAAAAGTCTATATCCTTTGCCAAACTTTTCCAAAAGAACCTTTCTTCTTCTCTCTGGTCAGGGAAGGTGTCAATGAGAACTAAATCTGAGCAAAAATTTGAAGAAAGTAAAGAACCAGGTTTGAAGAAAATATGACAGAACAGCAAGTACAATGGCCTTAATATGTTCAATGGCCTTCATATGTTCAGGAATAGCAAGGTGGACAGATAAGAATGTGAGAGAGGAAGGAGGTCAGGTTTGGGAGCAAGCAGGGATCAGAACAGGCTGGGATGTGCAGATGATCTCGATTACTTTTACTGTGCAAAACTACAGGACTCAACTAGAGGGTTTGAGGAAATGAGTGACATGATCCAACTTACATTATGAAAGGATCACCGTGATTGCTGTGTTGAGGAGAGAACTGGAGAGATGAAGGAGGAAAAAGGAGAGGTTGGAGGGTGGGAGGTGGGACAAAGACAAAAGCAGGGAAACCAATTTTTGCTACTGCAGAAATCTAAGTACCTAGAATGATCAGATTCATTCTATGATATGATCATTCTTCTCATGATATGAGAAGTCAGATTCTCAACAAAAACTGGACTTATAGATGAACCCAGTAGAGGTATGAGAGAAAGAAATCATGTTTAACTCTAGATTTTTGATCTAAGCAAGAAAAATGATGGCTACTTAGGGATCTTACTAAAGTGGGAGGGGGGTGTGCAGCAATAAGATCATCAGTTTAGTTTTAGAACTGTTGACTTTAGGTTTCTAGTCAGATATCCAAATAGAGAGAGAGGTCATGTAGGCAGTGGGGAATGAGCCTGCATTTCAGGGGAGAGATGAGCTGGAGATAAAAATGTGGAAGTCAGTAGCGTACAGACTGTATTTAAAGTCATGAGATCATCAATGGGGAAGGGATAGATAGAAAAGGGGTTACGTCCAAAGACTGGCCCCTTGGAAATGTTAAAGTTTAAAAGTAAGAGACAGTATAAGAGAGTGGCATAGCTGACTGAAAGGGAGAAGCCAGAGGTAGGAAGAAAATCAAGTAGATAATGATGGATTTTTCAGAGTAATCTCCAATCTTGGGTCACCAGGTACAAAAAACATTATTACAATATAAGTGGACTAGTAGTTATCTAGTCCTAGTCCCTGAAGTCTCTGACTGTCCTTGCTCTCAAGACAATTTTATCATACTGAAGTCTCCTCTGTATAAGATATTAGGGATTCACATTGAGTTTCTGTCTTCCAAGGGTTCAGAAACTGGTGTGTGTGAGGGGAACAAGCAATAAACTAAGAATGGTAATAAAAATGTTATCTCTCTCAAGAGAGAGCTATTACCTCTCCCCTGGGTGGGAAGAGAGTCCAGGCACATTTAACAAGGAGGTATGACAGACTTCGAAGTAGTGATCTATCCCTTTTAAAGAAAAACTTGTTGCTAAAGAATAGGGTTAGCTGACAGCCTCCAGCTCTTAGATTGTTCAGGATCTACCTCAGGTTTTGAACAAAGTTGATGCTCTTCTCAGCTAGTGACTGGTAGTAAAGGGCCTACTCATTGCCTCCCAAGACAGGATTTCTCAAATAGGAAATCTTGTCTGCAGAGTTCCTGGCTGAACGGGCAGAGACTTTGTTAGGTCCACCGCCATCCCTCTGCTCAATCCATTTCCTCTTTTGCTTTTACATGTTATTCCCACTAAAAAAAAATTTTTTTAAAAGCACTTCTAATTCCATTTCAGGGTCTGTTACCTGAAGAATACAACCTGTAATGTGTGATACTGGAGGATAGTAGGTCCCCAGAGGTTAGGAAAGGAGGGAGGGAGGGAGGGAGAGGGAGGGAGAGAGAGAGAGAGAAGGAGGGAGGGGGAGGGAGGGAGAGAGAGAGAGACTGCCCACAAAGTATAGGGCCCTAGAATATTAAGAGATGAAAAAGATCTCAGGAACCACCTATTAATTTATTTTCTCTTTTAAAAATTATACCACTAAGATGTAAATACATTTTCATTGTAAACAGATTGCGAATCCTGCCTTTTGAAAAATTACACTTTGAGATATAATTCATATACCATAACGTTCACTTTTTAAAAGTTTATAATTCAGTGGATTTTAGTATATTTATCAAGCAGTATGACCATCACCACTACCTTATTTTAGAATAAGTTCATAACTCGAAAACTAAATCCTGTGCCCATTAGCAGTTACTCCCACTACCTCAGTCCTTTCCACAGTCCTTGGCAACCACAGTCTACTTTCCATCTCTATGGATTTGCCTTTTATGGGCATCTCATAAAAATGGAATGATGCAATATCCAGTCTTTTGTGGCTTTTTTCTCTTGGTATAATGTTTTCAAGGTTCATCTGTGTTGTAGCTCACACTACTGGTACTTCATTCCTTTCTAATGAAATAAAATTCCATTGTATGGGTCTACCACATGTAGTTTACTCAGTTGATGGACATTTAGTTTATATCCACTTCTTGAATATTATAAATGATACTGCTATGAACATTCATGTTTAAGTTTTTATGTGGACATTTCCATTTCTCTTAGGTAGATATCTAGAAGTGGAATTGCCAGGTCAATATGGCAACTCTGTGCTTAACACTTAAAGAAACTGCCAAACTTTCAAAAATGGCAATACCATTTTGCATTTCCATTAGCATTGTATAAGAGATTCAATTTCTCCATGCCCTTGATAACACGTATTATCAGCTTTTTACTTTAGCTATGTTAACAGGTATGAGACAGTATCACACTAGGATTTTGATTTGCAATTTCCCAATGCCCCATATTGAACACCATTCTAGGTATTTATTAGATATCTGCACATTTTCTTTAGAAAAATGTTTACTCAACTATTTTGCCCATTTTTAAAATAGAGGTATTTGCTGTTTTATTGTTGAGTTGTAAGAATTCTTTGTATAGTCTGGGTACAAGTCCCTTATTAATGATTTGCAAAAAAGTTCCCATTCTGTGCATTGTCTTTTCACTTAAAAATTTTTTTTTAAATTTCAAAATATTAAAGGGTACAAGTATTTTTATTATATGGATGTCTTGAATAATGTCTAAAGTCAGCACTTTTAGTGTGCTCATCATTAGAACTGTGTTCACGGTACCCAGGAGGTAAATTTTTATCCTCATACCACCCTCCTTGTTTCTCATGTCCCTTATATCGCTTTGTGCCCGTGGGCACCCATCTATTAACTCCCACTTATTAGTCAGAATATATGGTGTTTGGCTTTCCAGTCCTGAAATACTCCACTTAAGATAATGGTCTGCAGTTCCCTTCATGTTCCTGCAAATAACCATTATTTCTTTCCTTTTTATCGGTGAGTAGTATCCACAGTGTATGTGTTGTGTTGTGGGTGTGTACACACATTTTCCTTATCTTCTGATGAACTGATGGGCATATTCCACATCTTTGCAACTGAACTGTCTGTAATAAACAAGTGAGTGCAAGTGTCTTTTGGACAAAATTGGCTTCATTTCCTTCAGGAATACCCAGCAGTGGGATTGCTGAACTGAATGGTAGGCCTATATTTATTTCTTTGAGGAATTTCCACATTGTTTTCCATAAGGGTTGTACTAATTTGGAGTCCCATCAACAGCATATAAAGTGCTCCTTTCTCTCTGCATCCATGCCAGCAGCTATTACTTTTTGACTTTTTAATAATGGGGTAAAGTGATATTTCATCATAGTTTTAATTTACATTTCCCTAATAAGTGATGTTGAGCATTTTTTCATATTTGTTGGCCATCTATTTTCTTTTGTAAAACTTTTATCATTCATGTCTTTTGCCCACTTTTTGATGGGGTTGTTTTTTTCTTGCTGATTTGAATTCTATATTATCAGTCCTTTGGTGGATGCATAGCTTGTGAATATTTTCTCCCATTCTGTAGGTTATCTATTCACTTTACTCATTGTTTCCTTAGCAGTGCAGATGCTTTTTAATTAAGTCCCATTTATTTATTTTTAGTTGTTGTTATATTTGCCTTTGGGGTCTTAGTCACAAATTCGTTGCCTAGGCTGATGTCTAAAAGAGTTTTTCCTACATTTTCTTCAAGAATTTTCAAGGTTTCGTTTCTTGTCTTATATTTAAGTCTTCAATGATATTTATTTCTCCTCTGATTTTTATTATTTCTTTTCTTCTACTAATTTTATTTTATTTTCTTCTACTAGTTTTAGGTTTGGTTTTTCAAGTTCTTTGAGATGCATCATTGGGTTGCTTATTTGGAGCTATCTTTTCTTTTTGGATATACACAGTTACTGCTATAAACTTCCCTCTTGTTGCTGCTTCTGCTGTATCCCATGAATTTTGATAAGTTGTTTATATTTTCATTTGTTTTTGAGGAATTTTTAAATTTCCTTCTTAATCTCTTCATCAATTCCCTGGCCATCCAAGAGCCATATTGTTTAATATTCATGTGTTTTTGTATAGTTCCCAATGTTTCTCTTGTTATTGATATCTAGTTTAATTGCATTTATGGTCAGAAAAATACTTTAATTGACATGATATCAATTTTATTTATTTTTTTGAGACAGTCTCACTCCATTGTGCTCGGTATAGTGCCAGGGCATCATGGATCATAGCAACCTCAAACTCTTGGCTCAAGAGATCTTCTTGCCTCACCTTCCTGAGTAGCTGGGACTATAGCCGCCCACCATGATGC